TAATTACATTGTGCTCTCAGTTTTGAAGAGTTTGTGCGATTGACAGGCAGATGTATATCAAGATATTTTTTATCGAATCTATAATCCAGCATGTCATTTTTTTTGTAAATGTTTCACAATCTTGAAATTTGGAAAATGTGTTAATAATAGTACTGGTTAGTTATTAAAAGCAAAGATGGCAAGCTAGTAAATATTCTTATTTATACATTTTAACCCAATCCAAGATATTTTTTACTGGAACTCATGTAATTTAATTGTGCGAAGTTCCAATTAGTAAATTCGAAAAAATGACTTAGATAAGACATTTATCGACAGGAATCTTGAATAAATTGCAATTCCGTAGGGGCGGAATATACAGCTGTGCAGGTGGGTTAAAATGAAATATTTGGATGATTTATATTCCCTCCGTAGAGAGCAACAAGCGCCCGTCGCTTTAGTGTCAAACAGGGGCAAATCTGTGTATATAAATTTTGGCTCTCTCGATATGTCCAATTAGCTGCATTCGGGTACACAGTTCTCACTTTCTTCGTAAAACTAACCTACATAGAACATTTTACCTTCAAATTAATTTAAGATCACAGCTTTTTCTTACAGTGAATCACACGCGGAGATACCTACTGCTTGATTTTGATAACATTTAAAATGATGACACAATAGAATTAAACAATGCGATTACAATTATTACTGTATTGTTTTATAGTTTAGTAGATAATAACTATCACACTAGGAACAATTCCTGTTTATTTTTTAATATTCCGGAATGCATTATATAAGGTCAACAGCTATACAATATATTTATAATCTAAATCTGAACTGAAATTTAGGAAGACCTGTTTAGGTTCATACAAATACATCGGAATATTACAAGTTTTATCTTATAGTTAAAATGGCATGTGAGACGGATATTCGTCAAAAAGTGCAAAATTTGGATGTGTATGTATGAATCTGATAATTTTTCTTACAGTAATTTCAACATTAACCCGTAATTTTTTTTCGTATGTCTAGAAAATCCTTTTCAAACCGATCAATGAGATGTCAAATGAACAATCCAAGCTCAGCGAGGTTTTTAATAATTGAACCTGCCGTTTTCTTTTCAAGTGTACAGGAATCGTCAATTTTCTGTCAAATATCGTTTCATTTTTCCTATTCCCCTGACCATTGACGTTCCATTAAAAACTGGGAATTATATTTTTCGAGAATGGAAAATCTACACATATTTTAATATTCTCTTATTTACGCACTTAAAAAGAAACCTTGAAAGTATTTTTGGCGGATATCATGCACGTTCTAATTTCGTAGATTACGCATCAGCGTGGAAATTGAATAAGGTGTAGTTTCTAATTTATTTACATTTTGAAATTTATATTGTTGGTGTTTCCATTCCTTAAATGTACACAATTTTAATAACCACGCACGTTAATTTAGCTATAGTAAATGTATTACGGAGCTACTTCTCTTCAATATCCCGTATTTTAGAGAAATTTGTATGGCAGATCTAGCAACACTCCACAGTATAATTCAACGGCCGATAATAAACAAGAAACTTGATAAATAAAGGGCTATAGATCCCTTTAAAAGACAGATAACAGCAGGAAAAATCGTGGGTTGCTTGTCAGATCTACTCTACAAATTTCCACAGATCTAGGGAAAAATCCGGGAAATTAAAGTGAAGTGGCATCCTAAGTACTTAAATGGTTTATAATACAATCGAAGGGAGGACGATTTCATTAAGTAGAATGTTTAATTCTATTGTATGTTTGGTTGGCGGGTGAATGAGTCAAAATTTAAGGTGAAAGTGCAGTTGCTAGAGTTATAATCTCATTAAAACGTAGAATAGCACCACCACCTTTAAAGCTATCAAAATTTCACCTATAAAATTGTATTTATTTTCCTATTTCTTACAATTTGTAACTTTTTTATGTACAATTCACAATCTGCACTGTGTGGCGGGTGTGCGTTAGGTACGCTTACTTACTCGATTAAATCCTATCCTATACTTAGAAAAAAAAAACGTAAAACTGAAATTTGAAATGAAAATATTTCGAATTTGTATATTTAATATTCAATTTCGGTAATTTTTGGACACTTCAAAGCTATATGAACTTATCAGTCTTCGAATTCCAAATTTCAATTGTTTTACATGTATTTTCTCTTCGAGTTAGGATACGGACTAGATATATCATCAGACATTGACAATCAAAATTGATATTCCCGATTATTTAACTTTAAGTAGTCAGTCTGCCTCGAGATATTCTAGAAATTTCCATTAAAATACTCATCTTAATCCAATCGCCAAGGTATGAGTATTATAAAAATAAAGTAATTTGGGGAAGTGGCTGGTTAGTATGAGGGAAGGTATATATGGCCATGCTTGCTGCAAAGTACCACAGCTTTAAGGACAGGTTGTTCTAAATTCCACATGTCAACAAAATTATCGATAATAGTCATTTTATATGAAGGCTACAGACAAAAAAAGTCTCGAGAATTTTTGCCCAAATTTACATCATGATAACACTCATGTTAGGCAGGATATATCGTCAGTTTGAAACAAGAGGGTTATATTTAAAAAAACTAAAATTTTTAAGAGGGCTAATTAAAATTTTATAAAATAACAATAGTGCAAAATATAATAATGTGACCTAATCGAGTAATGTATTATAGCAAAAGTATAGTCCCAACAATACGAAATAATACACTGTTTTAGATATATGAAAGACGCTTCCTACTCAGTAACTGAAATTAAAGTATTGAGATGAGAAGAAACCCTTTGGTATCGATTTGAGTGGCATCTAAAGGCATTTATAGAAAGTTCAGATGTGTTACCTTTATCAGACAATAAGACTTTTTTATACGATATTTAATGTACCTACCAATAACTAAAAATGCAGTTTTTTTAGTTATGACGTTTTTGCAGCAAATGAGCGAAGTTATTAGTATTTCTAATAGAATTTATCGTTAATATTGCTTTTTACTAGGTTTTCGTTTATTAATTTTGATAAATAATTGCGAGTTGAAACCTTTTTTTCTTCTTCTATATTTTTTTAATAAGTTTTTTAATAAGACAATCATACCTCAAAATGAGTTTATATTATACAAAAACCTGTTCTGGCGGAAACTAAACAAAGTTGACTTGCGACGTTTTATCACATCGTTGGTACATAAGTATAGTGACACAACTCAAAAACATAGATTTTCAAGGACATCGATTTTAAACTTTCTTGTTTACTATAAGGCTGGCTTGTTATATTTCATTTTAAAAATGTTGTAAATCTTTTTTGGGAATAAACATTGTATTTTGAGTTAAGTCGTTCCCCCCAGAAAAGAATATTTCACACCATATTGATAATGATCTTTTCAACAATACTGTCCTAATTTGACTTGCCACTGTTGAAAATAATGTCAATTTATTTTTAATAAAACCGGCATATTTTGATATATGTCACTCTAGCCAAAAATTGACGATCTTTTATCACTGACTGTCGGAGTACCACTAGTTTGTGTCACTCTTCATCGTATAAACTCGCTACCTTGTAGTAAGGGAACAACGATACAACCGCTTCCCAGCGGTTATTTTTGTTATGAAAATATTCATATTGTGCTGTACATTTTCGCAATAAGTTCGAAAATGGAAATTTTTTATGTGTCACTATTTTTGTAGCAACGATTATTATATTTTGAGTTGATACAGGATAAATCTAAAAAATAAAATTTCGATATGCGACTCTCTCGTTTCAAACTCACGATATAATTATTAAACAATCAGTCTGCAGGCTAAGAAATCTTCACCAGCTAGGTTTTTATTGTTGTATTTATATTCTATAAACTATGTATTTTGTTCAAAGTTTTCCTAAATCTTCTTCTTTCCCTACGGCTTAAATAGACCCTACTACTTGAGTATGGATCGTCCAAAGAAATACAATTATTCAAATTAACATTGAACTGCCGACACTCAATGCCTTGGCAGAACAAACTATAAATAATTTCTGCTCTGAACTTCCAGTCCAAAAATGTTTTACCTTAGAATCAAAGAACTCTACAGGACACCACGGGCTTAGAAGACAACTAAAGCTATTTACTTTAGATGGGAACGGAAAATGCACTTTGAGGTACAGTAGCGCCCATCAGGCATATTCTTTAACCCGATGGGGTGAGAACTTTTGAATGTACCTACAATAATCTTAATCTTCATACAACTTTAGAAACCACAACCTAAATCAGCTGTTTCTGGGCCGACTTCTTGCCTTTATCTTTCTACCTTTTTTTATACATGTTCCCTCCAAATTCTTGGAATTTATTAAGTTTTGTTTTGGCTACCATAAACATGCTCACACTGTGAAGTTATCGCGCAGTTTTTTAGTCGGTTTCGCTCATTTTGTTCTCTGTAGTTTAGTTATGTTTTGGATACGTCAAATAGTGGGACTACATCTGTTTAGTTACTCGAAGTATTATCCCAAAAATGCAGATAAATATAACAAAAGTCAAATTGTCAACTCGATCGATGTTAACCATACATCCTCAAATAGCTTTGTCGCTTTTTTGATGGCATTGTAGCGTAAAGAATTTAGAACAGCCTGTGTATCGGCAAGCACGCCATTTATGCAAAACTTTTTAGAGTAACGTTCGCAAACACTGCAAGACACAACAGCAAGTAAAGGAAAAGAAAAAAATGTAATTAAAAGTAAAATCATAAATAAATTTTAATTTGTATTCACAAAAAATAAACATTAAATTAAAATAAATAAGTAGTTATATAAATTAACAAACCAAAATTGATAAATTAGGTAACAACTAAAAAATAAATCTGGATAGGAGCTGTTAGACTCGGTAATGAAAAATAAACTAAAAAATAATTGTTAAAATAAAAAAGAACGTAATGATTTTATGGATGAAATAATAAATAAATAAATTAGAGTTGTGGTCTCGCTAGGTATTGCCATCAATAAAGTGAAGGCGTTTCGAGCAAAACCACTTAATTTAAAGAAAAAGCCGAGAATTTGTGGAAAAAACTAGGAAACTAAACACAACACACAAAATGAGAAAATATTTGGAATCTTGAGTAGTAGGGGCGATCACCATTTCAAAAATCGTTAGTCACGATCAGTCTGTTCAGCAATCATCTACCTAGTAAAGTACACTATCACAAGGCGAGATGGCGCCCTTACCACCGCCAACTCCGTTTAACACAATACAGGTACGCAACGACGCTAAACATCAACACATATATTAAGAATACGCCCTTTGATTGGCCGTTGCGAGAGACTAGTCTGAGAATTAAAACAAAGACACAAAATTTCTACATACAAATACATAAATTCTCTACTTATAAGACATGAAATAATGAACTTAAGCTTACAAAATAATATAAAGATTATTTCATAAATATAATAGAACTATGAATCTTTGGTTCATATTTCTATAAAAAAACGCCTTTTTACCTTTTTCTTTCACATCTTTAATCTTTTTATCCGTTTAAATACTTTTCTACTTTTAACAATTAAAAATATCAATCCCAAACATCCTATAGTCTTTCAAATTCAATTCTTTTCAACTGCTTAACAACTAATTGTGTCCATCAGTTTTACAAATGGCACTATGTATTTCCCATGTACATAACGAGATCCAACAAAGACTTAATTTAAACTCAATTCTTATAGTTTGCATAATCATTAATATTCAACGTCTCCCAAAGACTATCGATCATCTTAACACACATTGCACACTATAAACAAAAAAAAGATATATTCACCAATAAATTTTACTATAGTTTGTGAAAAAAGTTTGATTTTAACAATGTTACCAGAAAGTGTTATTTTGTTTAAAATACCTATAAAAAAAAATTATTAAACTGAAAAAGATCCAGATGCATTAAAAACATTTTTATTAAAGGACCATTTCGCCCCGCTCATACAAAAGTGACAACTCAAATATTCGACAAAAAAATTTGATTAACCCCTTCAACAGCATTCTAAATCAAAGCATTAAGTAAAACGTAACTATTATTTTCAATATCTTTGGTTTAGAATGCAGTTTAAGGAATTGATTCAAATTTTTCGAATTTTGAGTTGTATCACTTTTTTATCAATGGAGCGACTTATGCTCATGTACAAACCGGATAGCATTTAATTTTTTTATCTACACAATTATAATGTCAATTTGAATAGTCGTCTAAAAAAAACAAACTACTATGGACTATCATCTCAAACAAAACTTTTCATCATTATATTTTCTGTTAAAATAAGTCAATATTCTTTGGGACAATAATCAGTGAAGTGATTTTGTAAATAAAACTGATTGAAAATGTACCATTACAAGCAAAACATCTATCAACAATATGTAATTAAGTAACAAATTCAGATTCGGATAAATCTAAAAGTTGAAAAATATTTAGAAGGGCGATTGGAAAAAATGTAAAACCAAAAAGTAAATTGCGATGGCACAATTATTACAAATGACTAATACAAAACATCAGACTATATAAATGTTTGCTATAGGAAACGCGAATGCACTTCTGACTAGCTTCGTATTTTAAGTACTATAGAATATTAAATTACAGGGAGGTGCGCTTCTGGCTGGCAGGGGCACCCCCGAGTCCGTTGCACCCTATTCACGCCCCGTGGTCAATTGCCTAAAATCTAGCGGCAAAATTCACCGCAAAGAATAAATAGAAATAAATAAAGGAGAGACAGAGTGCACCGAACGCGCTGGTGTCTTACGATTTCTCTTCGCTCTAGGTTGTTTTGCTTTTGTTTGTTTTAAAGCTGACCTGCAATACACGGTTGCCAAGTGTATATCCGTTCAGCGATTGGATGGCGACGACGGCTTCATCATAGTTGGTCATTGTTACGAAACCAAAACCTTTGCATTTGTTGGTTTGGAGATCGCGAATTACCTTAACACTCTGTACAGCGCCGAAAGGACCAAACAACTGCCAGAGGACATTCTCCTCGGTTTCTGGGGCGAGGTTGTACACAAAAATGCACCAACCAGAGCCATTCATTGCGTTTCCAGGCAGCATCGAGTTAGCCAGCAGGTCTCCAGCCAGCGGAGAATACCTGAAATTACATCCATGATCGAATTTCGAATCTAAGAAACTTACAAAAAGAAAATCATTGTTGCAATAGATGTCTGAAGGGCCAAGGGAAAATCTAACAATATTAAATACATATTTCTGATCTAACAACTTCGTTTTACTTTGAACTTCAGAACTGTGTTAAAAATCTTTAACTCTTTGGCTCTTAGAGGAGGTTTGGATGAATTAACCGGTGTTCATACATTATAAAAGGTTCACACTTGTATCGCCGATGATCATACATTATCACTGTGGTACCATATAATATGTATCACCAGTGATATTTAATAGGGACAATTCTAAATTCAAGATTTTCTTCAAAACATGATAGTCAAGTTTGAAAAGGAAATTGATGTAAAAAAATATTAATGATGAAAATGGAAGATTGGAGCACATAAAGGAAAAGATAATGAGAAAAATAGATGAGAAAAGTTAAAAGTGCAAAGAAGTTGGATGAAAATGTCAAGAAGCTAGATTAAACTGGAGAGAAGATAGAGAAAATAAAGGAAGAATTAGAAACTTTTAATAACTGAAGGTAAAGAAAAAGAAAATAAAAGTAGAAATAAAGATACAAGAAGAAAAATTGAGGAAACAAAGTGGAGAAAGAAAACAGGACCAAAAAAAGGAACAAAGTTGTTATAAAAAATAAAATTAAAATTAAGATAAAATTAAAACAGATACAGTAAATAAAAATAAGAATAAAATGGAAATAGAATTGCAACAGATACGAAGCGAGTTGAAAAAAAATATATAATAGTAGGGATGGTTGTGGGTTGACCTAAACGAAGAGAGTGAGAACAAAAGTGAAAGAAAACAAATAAAAATTTGAATGAAGGACGGAAAATTTTAGAATATAAAAATTGCGAAAATAATTTGATATGATGTAGTGAATGAAAAGATGAGAGTTAGTGTATAGGTATTAAGTGTAAGTGTATAGTGTGTTGAAAGTAAAGTTAAAAGGTGTGTCTCAGGCAGAACGGATCAACATAGTGCAATGACAGAAGCACTCTTTCAGATTAGAAAATTCGGCATGAAATAGTTCGTAGACGCACACCATTTCATATCAAATGTGAGGGATTTTGTCATGATTCCGTCATTTGACTTTTGATGTCGTATTTTAGTCCTGTAATGTTAGCTTCGAAGTTATTCGGAAAAGCCTTAGGGGTGTGGCGGCGATGGTAACGGGATACGCTTTTGGAATTGAATTGTTTTTTTTGTTTTGATTTTGGAAAGATTGTCAAATAGGGAAATTGAAAAGAATAAAGTTTAAAAATGTATAGAAGGTACAAACAGTTTTATTTACAAGGATCGTTATATAAAAAACAGAACGAGACGCAGAACAGAAATCAGAAAAGAAGGCGAAGAAAGAGCCAGAGGGAAGCAATTAAAATAAAAACGCGAAGCAGGTGGTAGAGGAAAAGTAGGTTTTGGAGAAGGGGTAAAATTAAAATTATTTATTTTAAAATTTTTGTAGGTAACCATATCATTCACGACCCTAAAAGCTTTAAGATATTGGAATGGTTTGAATCTTCCAGGGTGGAACCATTACAATAATATGTTACTGTTGTTATTTCTAATAATGGTAGTGTAGTCATCTTGAGCAGTCAGATCCGATTTCATTTTTAAAACGAGTTATGGCCTGGAACACTTAACTCGTGGCCGAAAGAGTTTTATAGGTACAGCATTCGCCTTTTACTCTATCCTAGGTTGAAAAATAACAAATAATACTCTTCAAAGATTCGTTATAAATAATCACAAACGATACACCCTCAATGACCAACAGCTCTCTGGTAGGATATAGTAAGTAAATGACGAGTGCTGCAGTATCACAGTTCTGAAAGTATCATTTTTTTATTTCCAGTTATGTCGCCAGATGTAATTGATGAATATACTCATCTTAATGGAGAAAGAATAGCACAGAATAATATAAAGACCAGTATTCGAGAGTTAGTGTTTTAGTAAGCTTACCTGAAGCGGCCTGTAGGATGATGGATCGGACCAGCGAATCGACGTGTTGCTTGCGGTGTAAGATAAGCTGCCAATGGAGGAATTGATTTATTGTTATTACTTGGGTTGTTTGCAAATTTCACCGTTATGGGCTCAGTGGACCCTTTAGGAATGGTACCATTTAGTTCCTGAATTGCCCTCTCTGCTTCTAAGCGTTGGTCAAACCTGATGAAGCCAACTCCTTTGGAAAGACCTATATTAAAGACATTCGATTTAATGGAAAGTACTCATTTTGGAACCATCAAACAAATTTTCAAACTCTCGACTGCTTTCATATTATTGATATCGTAAATATAGAAAATCAGAGATTATGTAATGTAGCCAGTCTGAAATGCAAAATTGTTGAAAAGCTGTTTTTGTTCCGTTCGTCAAACGCAGGCCTTCAGGTACTTTACAAGTTTAAAAATCATACCTAGTAGTTATGATGGACTGTGCGTTAGTTAATACAAAATTTTGAATATCATTCCTAAAAGCCTTTGTATGATGTAAATGAAACATCAAGACTGAAAAGATATACTCATCAGCATACCTCTCCTTTCTAATGTGTAGTGTTTGTGTGTAAGGTTGTGATTGCTCTGCTTTTGTTTAAAAAAATAAAACGAAAACGAACCAAAAACCAAATAAATCTACATGCCACGACGCAAAATAAAAAGAAAAACAAAATCAGTTGAAGCTTGTAAATATCAACTAACTCAAAACTGTGTGAACTTAATCTTTGAACATGTGTTCGTCAATTGATTTGGGGGAGGGGTGCATCATATAGCTATTTATTTATTTATTTCTAATCTTAAATTATTCTTAACAGTCTCAGTTTTTCGGTTAAATTTTGGTAGCCAGCGACTGTTTGCAATATTAAGCTGACTCGCGTGACTCGTTAACAGAACAACCAAAGGTAAATTGGTAATAAATATGTTATAAGTACAATATCGTAAAAAGGAAAAAATAATGATAACAAAATAAAAATGAAGGAAGGAATTATATCTAGAAAATGTAAGATTTTTAGAAATATGTTTTTTTGGCTTCAGTTCTATTCAACAACGTTACAATAAATATTTTTTCCATGGTAATATCAATTGTTTTATTATGTTAATCATACTTGCACAAAGCTGGACTCGTGCGGTATATTTGAAACCATAGAAAATAGAACGTATGCATTGAGATTTTTGAAGTAAATATTTCTTAGGTATTGATAAAAATGTATTTACTATATGGAATAATAAAAACATTTCGACCAAAATATTATTTTTTGCTTGCATTATATAACTAAAAAATATTTTGTACTAGTAAAATATGAAGTAACCTTTTTCGTAGACTGAAAAATTATCCATGTAAAATGAAGACTATTAAATTATAAAAGCCTTTCTGCTGCATTGGAGGAAATGGTGGACTACAAAATGTTGGAATAAAAAGTGTCAAACCAGGAAAAAAACGGAGTTTGAGAGTTTGGTATATAGCTCGAAAATGAATGAAGGAGTGGGAATGAGCTTTTATGCCTATGCCATATCCAGAGCTATTGGTCGCACTCCCTCCATTTTCAATCCACCATAATCCATTCAAGAATGCAAGCCTTGCTGGGGCAAAAATAAATATATTATCAAATAGACAAACAACTAATTTTTTTTAAGTATCAGTCTACTTATGCCTGAGATCGAAAACAAACCGGTTTTGTTGTTAGAAACAAACAGAAAATTTGCTTTGAAGTGGGCGTTGCTGATAATAAAGGAGTTCAATTAATTAACCGTTTCAAGAACAAAAGTGTAGATGTGTTGACTTGGTTCTGCCCATGAAAATATAATTTTAAGAAACGGGGATTTACGCTACTTTAATGCACGATATTGAAAGTCGTTCCACTATACTAGATAATAATTGGGATATCCTCAACATAACAATGAGAATTACTATATGTGTTGGACAGATAATGAGGAAGGAGGTGATGATACACCCAGTGAAGATCGTGCTGTATTTTGTTTAATAATAATCCTGATGAGGTTAGAAAAATCCCCGTTATATAACCCACAAAATGATGCAGTAAATGCAAATTTTGGAAGGGTAGAGGGAAGAAAAATTTAAGATAGTTACAGAACACTATACTGCGAGATCTTATCATGTAATATAAGTACCTAAGTAAGTACTTGAAAGATGAAGTAAGTAAATACTTAGAAGTTTAAGTAAAATATGAAGTGATGCATGTGTCAATTTGGATTTAAATTAGAGCCGTGCGTAGTTACCACGGACGTAACTCGTATCTGCCTTTGTCGGTCATGCCCTATTTTAGAAATATTTTTTGTAGCCTTCTATATTGCATAATATGAAATTAAGTATTTACGACAACCATTGTTTTACTTCATAGTCAATACTTAAGTACTTATAACTAAATATTTTTTTATGAATATGGCCAAATAATTTCGTTACCCTGAACCCAGCTGAATCTTACTGCTTCCTAAACCAGCGAAAAAGAAGTGGTTTAGAATTTGTAATCAATTCTTTAAAAAGTATCACAATATTTCTAAAACTGCTTTATTTCCTTCATTTATCGTAAAATAATAGAAATTAAAAGAATTTTTAATGGTAGAAAATAATAAAAAGGATTGCCTTCAAAAACTTAAGGATACGATCGATACTGTACTTATGACATACATGGGTGACTGCCTGCAATTCTTCCAATCACTATTTTTTTAGACAATATGTATTTTATTACATTTTCCTTTTAATATACCAATGTAAACGGTTCTTAAATAAATTGAAAGAATATTTTAAATTCAATAATAGGTATTACATAAGATAGAGAAATATTAATTGTGAAATAGAAACACTAGCAAAAAAATGAAATATCTGTTTCCTTGACTGGTGACTTTAAGTATGATTCACAGGGTGAAATATGAGTAGTATAAATATAGAAAAAAAATTAAATTGTCAAACAAAGACAAAATCGCTAACATAGTATAAGAAATATGAAACTTAGAGACATCAAACTTGGTAAAAAAATTTATATGATTCGTAACTCAGTGCAGATGAAAATACAATTAAAGACGAAAGTTGATAAAGATGTCATTTCACAATTTTTTTAATTGTTTTATTGCCAAATATACTTCTAATGCGCTATATTTTTGTTCTGTGATAGTTTTCATTTCTAATTTTTATAAATAATTGAGAAATCCTATGAGCCATATATCACAATAAAATTGTAAAACTTCATTTTGTGATGACACCTTGATCCACTTATCTCATCTCTTCAATTTCTATCAAATTTAAGGAATTGCATTCGATTTGCACATAGTGGAAAAACAGTTCTACTTTCTTTATAATGTATAAATTCAAGAGTATACATTTTAGAACAATTCACATTCAGTTAAAAGAATCTTAACAGTTAAAATACATATTGCGTCAGTGAATGGACGATTTGTGGAAAATCACTCACATGATGGTAATTGTGGGGTGGTGTTTTTTGGGTGTTATGGTAGAGAGATAGGTACGTACCAGGCAAATTTTCTCCGGCCCCCGAGACAAATTGACGTACTAGGAAAAAGAAGAAAAACGCAAAATATAGGTACAATAAGATAAAAAATTAACTGGTGAAAGTGGTGTCCTCGGGTTATTTATACCCGCGATCACCTCTCTAATATTAAAAGCCAAATTTCAACAGTAACTTGAGTAAAATCATACCATAATCAAATTAAAGCTACAACATCTAAAAATAATAAAAAATAAATATTTACTGATTAAAATAATCAATAAACAAACTGCTAGTATGTTTGATGTAGTTTATATGTATGTTACTGTGATTGTGGCATTATACAGCGTGACTTACTTAAACCTTTGGTAATATAGGTAATTTTATTCAAGGGTTTAATAGTACATTTCAACAAATACATATTTGTTAGTGTCTATAAAAATATTGTAATGTTAATAACAGTTACTTTTTATTTTAATTTATGAATTTTATTTATACTTTTATATTTTTTTTATAATTTACCTCAGCTAGCTCAAACTATGTTGCAAACCTTTATCATTTTATTATATTACTATTTTAATTATAACAGAATTATAGAAGTTTTGCAACATAGTTTTGAGCTAGCTGAGGTAAGTAATAAAATATAAAAATAAAATATAAACGTTGGGCACCATTTGTAATTTTATTGAATTGCTTTCATTTATACTTTTATATTCTTTTATAATTTACCTTAGCTATATTGCAAAACCTTTTTCATTTTATTATAAGTTTGTGATGGCTGAGGAAAATTAAATAATATAAAAAAAAATAATACCTATATGTCAAAAAATAAATAAATTAAGATAAAAAGTACCCGTTATTTAACTTAAGTAAAATAACATTAGTTAGTATATAGAAAATAGAACGAAATTATATAGGGGCTATGCAAATATTAAAAATTCTAATGTTTAGTTGCTTTTTAATGTATCACTACTGTTTGATGCAATATTCTAAAACTTGAAAAAATTATTTTATACTTTTATATTAAAAAAATATTTTTATGGCCAATATTTATTGGGTACCCATACCCAAAGAACACTTTTAAATAAAAATTTATATTACAACAAATTTAATTATAAAGTAATTCACAATAATAAATTTTTGTTATGTAAATAATAAATTTGTACATTTATTGCGTCAGATTAAATAAATCACACTGTATAATTAATACAATAAAGATCTTTAGACCAATATGCATTTAATTTTTGTATTTTAACAAGAAGCAATGTCTCCCTTGTAGTTTTTGGGATAAGTATGCATGCGTTTAATTTATTATTATATTAGTGATGGATGAAAAAAAATAAGAATCACTTCTTTCTTACATTGTTATCTATAGAAAATGTAAATATAGGTAAAACAAAAATTTATACAATAAATGGACACGGCATTTTGTATAATAAAGCATATATTTGCTTTAGACTTTAGAACACGTAATTAGAAATGAAAACATACATTAATGTAAATATATATTATTATATTGGACTAAATATCTTTACTTTTAAATTTTAATAAAAACACAATATAATTACTTAAAATACTACAACTAAAAGGCTTTTAGAAATAAAGGAGAGTTCTAATTTCGTTTCTGCCTCTCATTTATTATAAGCCAATTTTATATGTAAATTTAAGGTCCATCCCTAGAAATTATAGATCCACCTAAGTTCGTAACACATATAATTTACATTCACTTAGTTTTTCTGGTTTTGGATCCCACTTTAAAACGTAAGATCCTACTTCAAATCGGGTTAAATGTTTACGTGTATTATTACCATCCGTTTAGAATATTTTGGCACTTACTCAATGATAAGTAAAGTATTTTCTTTACAAGACCTAATTTAGCCTTTTTTGGCACCTTTTGGAGTCTATTATATATATTTTTTTAAATAATAGCCAACAGTCAACTATTTAAAAGGTATAAAATCACACGTAATTCTAAAAAGTTTCGATAGTAACATTCCATTAGTTATCAAATCAGAGGTATTTTGAATATTACATTTATTACTAAATACTGATTATTTGGCTATGTTTTAGTTATAAATATGAGTACAAGGGTGGCCCAACGAAAATTTGACATAGAGGTTTTGGGTATTAATATCGTAATGTTAAAAAACGATTTTAGTTTGAAAGGGAATATCCTTCAATCATATCCTCAACTGTCACATGTCATTTTTACCGCATCTACGATACTAACACCTAAAACCCCATGTCAAGTTTTTGTTGGGCCACCTTGTATAATTCGCTTGGTATACCTGCAAATATTTATATTGCATACATTAATATCAGTTTTCTATTCGGCGCTCAGAGCCAAAGAAACTGGACATAATTACTATTAATTTCAACTTCTCGTATCGCGTTATTATTTGCCAAGATAATCTAAAGTACACGATATTATACTAAACTTATAAATCAAGATTATTATGCAGTTAGTTCAGACATGTAACACAATTTCCAGGTTTATATCCCCTAAAAGAAATAAAATTCAAATTTCTTGTGTTCTGGTTGCACTTCTAGAATAATTTATAAAAAAAAATATACCCAACATTGTCGGACTTGGCGGAGTCCGAATTATAAATAAGGATCTTAGGTTGATCAGTCTTTGTTCATGTATTCCAATCCGAATAATATAAAATATAAAATAAAAAGTCCGAAAAATACAGATAAGAAATTAAATTCAATAAGTCTCATTTGTAACTCATATTTTTAATTTTCATATTATTAACGAATTAAAACAAATAGGATGACATAGAAAATTTAGTTTTAAATATCATTAATTTTTTATTCCTATTTAAATAAATATTACCTTTTATAATTAATTACTAATATGTAATATACAGATAATTCAAAAATGGAACTAAAAAATATATATTGACATATTAAATCAATCATTGAAGCTAATGCATGTATGAACAAATAAATTTTCAACAGATATTTGAACTCTAATTACGAACCTCTAGACGTTTTCACAATTTTGATTGATTATATCCCAGTATTTTTTATACATTAGTATTAAATGGATTTTCCAGGACCTATATAACTATGATTATCAGAAATAAATGATGGCTTACCTGTAATATTATCGCACAAGATGCGAGAAGTTATGATCCTGCCAAACGGACTGAACAGTGTTTCCAAATCTTGTTGGGTCATATTCTTCGGTAATCCAGATACATATAAATTGGCGCCTTTGATTGCTTCTGAACTTGGTCTGGCGAAAGAAACCTAAAATTCAAGAATTGGGTAATACAATGCTCTATCTACATTGCAAACCTTTTTAAGAATGTGACCTACAGCTACATTAAATTGATCTATATCTGTATATAATATCTACAATTTCTTATTGTAGCATCATTTATTAAACTAGTAATCATGTCACGTAAGAAAAATAATAAATCACTCGTCAACGATTTGGCTGTATAAAGTAAAAGGAATTATTTGAGGTTCCATGCGTGGTTCTTAATAAGTAATGTCCAACCAAATTCATTAATTTGACAGGTGTATAATAAATTGTAACTTATTTTCTTTTATGAAAATATTCATGTATTTTTGATTTTTGTAATGAAATGGGAAAAGTACTGCATGCCTGTATTAAGTATCCACTTTTATGACTTTTTGAATAAAAAGTAATGTTTTAGGATATCTAGTATGCAAGTATGAAAATTCGCGGTACTAAATAATTACAGATCTTTGTCCAATAGTTTTCTGAGATATAACATCTGAAATATAAGATTTTGTATTCTTATATAATTTTAATATCCATTTCTGCAATATGTTAATTTAATATAAGTAGCAGTCATTTGTCCCCTACCCCATAATTTAATGATTTAGTGTGAATCAAGGGTAGCCAATGATCTAAACCCTAGTGATACCAGTGTTTCTTGCAAATGCTAGCACCAATTGAATTGATGCATCTCTAATATACTGTGGTGTCAGAAAAATATAGTACATGTATCTCTTTACCATGTGCATAGTCGACACCTTTCAGTGGCGCTTAGACCAATGTTTTTTTGGTGTTTATTTATGGGAGTCCTGATACGAGCTGTATACTTTTTGTTTGGATTATTTATGGCAGAATTTTCTTGTACACAATATCTGTTCATAAGGAGCTTAGATTTATGTAACAATATCTGGCAACCTTATCACCTTGTTGCATTTTCCATGTACCAATGCTAATTTTATACGATTCTTCCGTTCAGGACAGAGCGTTCAGACAGTAGATGGACTCTCACGAGTTGAATCTGAATTATGATTTGCTAGTTGGAGTATCATCTTCTTAAAATAGAGTTTCGTCCTTGGTCACACGCCATACCCTTGTTCTGGACCCTTTGTAAACTAGATGAGACCTTTAAAAATGACAGGTGTTTTTACTCAGAATTTCTACATTGTGAAGTTTGTTAAAAAACATATTCAATTTCCTTTTTAATTTAAACCAATTATAATTTATTTTAATAATTTAAATAAAATTTTACCTGGTAAAAATGCTTAAACCTTCTTAGTAATATTCCTGATATTAACTGGAAAGCTGTTTTTTTTCAATCCGTCCAAATTAAAAAAAAACATACTCCCCTGTTGTTGACTACCATCTATGTAAATTCATTCTTTAAGAAATGAATGTTTAATTAATTTCGGTAGTGTTTGTAGTGGTCAGTTGTCAATCTACAAAATCGTATACATCGCTTTTAGGGTATTGACCCTTTTAATCTACAATATGCAGATAGGGCATCTCGAATAACGCATAACTACCAAACAGTGGTGCACTACCGTGTTCAATAAAAGCGTATAGCGTGACGTTAACAATGCTAGACCGTAGGGGAAGAAATAAATACAATCCAGGGGTGTTCTATTTTAAACTTCGATATTTATTGTTTCTGGCGCGTAAAACCGGTTAGATTATTTATGCTATTTTTTATATGAACACGAGCCATCAAAACTGTCTTTCAAGTCATTGTGGAAATGTTGCTGATAGTAAAATTTAAATCTAATTAGGCATTACAAAAATTAATATGATTTCTTGTTCCCAACATTTGATACAATGAACAATCAATGTGAAAAATTATCTAAAAATGTTTTGAGAGATTTCTATTTAGACAATGGCAGACAATTATCTCTGCTCATCTGAACCAGTCCATTATCTTCAACCTGCACTCAGTTCTGCTTAAAACGTCTAGAACCAATATCGTTTCTTCGCATCTTGAGTGGGTAGACAAAAAAAATGGGCGAGGTTTAGGTGAAAAGGTAGAACGACATACAAAGTCTAAAGGAAAAGGGAAAAATAGAACAAATACCTTATAGGCTGTGTATGGTTTAGAACCCTATTGTGGTCTTACAAAAAGAGTCATCAGAACATGCACGAAGCAGTGGAAGATGAGCAAATCTAAGGAATGGTGGAATTCATAAGTCATAACAGAACCATTGTTAAAATTCACTGAGGCTTTACTAACCTAGAACAGGAGCAATAATGAATTAGGACAGGGCACATATGTACAACATCGGTTTGGCAGAAGAGAGTTTGTTCCGATTTTGTGTCAACAAAAGGAGTAGAGTGCAGTATATGTACTCGTGTTAATGCAACGGTCTATCAAGCTGACAAGCATACAACTTGAGAGAAATATCAAAGTGGCAAAGTGTTCTAACCAAAGATCAACAACTGAAATCTGACAAAAAAAATTCTAAGGGTTATTGTCCCAATCAGAATGAAAAATTACAATTACAAAAATCACCTTAATATTAAAAGTGAAACCTTTTCATTTTTAAAAACCAGAAGACAAATCATGTATTAATTGATACCAGTCCTGTGCATTAAGACTAGTTTTCTTTTTAGGACATTTACTTCATTTGAATCACGTTTTAAATTTCTTTTGCTAAAAAAAATTAGCTTGGTGTGTCCCTCCCCTGTATTTTTTTTTTTTTTTTGAATAGTACCACTGACTATTTAATCAAAGTGACCAAACATATTGAGTACTATTACAAAATTGTATTACAGTTTTTAAAACGAGTTTTTTATTAATTTTTTAATCTCTCAAATGTAGACCTCCAGATTTGGGAGAAAATTAAATAGGTAAGTATTTAGAATGTTCTTATAATATTTATAAAAAGTTTGAACCTTTTGTTTTTATAAACATTACTTTGGACTAATATGCTATCTACAACCTCATTTACATTCGCATTATTTAATCGAAATGCAAATTGTTTTCTATGTCAAGAGCATATTTATGCAAGTATTATACAAACCAAAACAAAACGTGACAACTAATTGAGTGTCAGCAAAAAATATAAATAGATTATCCATAAGTTTGTAAGTTAATTATTTCGTAATTTTTATGTTTTATATAGTCTTCTACAGATTGGAAATAATTTATGTTTCGAGTTTAAAATTATGACAGATAAAGTTTGTAATTGTTGGAGAGTAGATTACTATTTTAGAAATATTTCAGTTCTTTTTTTCTATAAATATAAAATTTGATGTTTTACAAAATAGCTTTAGTATAAGCAAATATCTAATAAAGAAAATTCGCTGTCAATTTTTCAATAGATTTAAATAAAAGTTTTGTTGGTTTAGAAAAATATGATTTTCTCGATAAATACCGAAGGGCAGACGACAGATGAAGTGCGGCTCGGAGCGAGGTGCACAAGGGAATTGTGCGACTTGAGGAATTGTCGGAGAATTGTGCGAATTCCTAAAAGTAATTGCAGAAATATTGCCGAAAAATTGAAAAATACTTTTAAGGAAATTGTGGGAATTGGAAAGTAAAAGGAAATTTTGGACTGCGGTTTATCCCTCGCTAAAACAACAAAATTACACATGAAATAAAATATTCAGTCACAGATCTCTGGCCTAGATTATTTGGAGCAAAACTTTTTTTTAAAAGTATATCACATCCATTATAATATACTGTAAAATATTGCTATATCTTTAGATGAACTTCTATTTAGGGCAACATGTATGTTTCTGATAGATAAATATGCATCGCCAAAAGGTTTCTATATGAACAGGGGGAGGATGGCATTATTAGAATAATTTTGCTTCCTCCAGGTAACTTAAAAGGTACCAAAAGGGAGTGGGTGCTTATTGGTCTAACTATAGAACATACAAAACCATTTATCATGTCAAAGAAAAGGCAAACAGGGCGCAAAGTTGCAATAATATATATGTATAGGTGCCTATATTATTACTCTATTCAAAAACAAAATAACATTGATGTATTTTATAGATATTTTTGTAGTCAAAAGCATAATTAATTCTAAATTATTTAAGAAAAACGAGCTACATTTTTCTTACTCTCCTTTTATTCAATATTACAGGATAATCAGTGACCGATTTGTTTATGTATGTACAAGTAGAATTCAATCCTAATGTAAAACATACTTTTACTTTTGTCTGCATCTTTTTTTATAGATATATCTACATATACTCGTATATAAAATGACGTGGATATTTTATTGTTTATATTTTCAACTGATTTAGTTGAACATGACAACAGTGTTTAATGGCATTCGTATTGACAAAATTATCGCAACAATGCTTAATTCGAGTTTTTATTTTATCAACGCTGTGTAATTTTTACTGTTTACTAGTTTTAGGAGAACTTTACATTTTAATAACGATCAAAAATGATTAATTAGATAACGGCCCCAAGTTTTTAGTTCATATTACTTAATGCGTTATACTGATAAATTAAATAATTTTTTTTTATTTTTAATTATGCTGTTACTTGCTCTAAGTCCACTAGTATTAAAGTGCAGAATAAAGCTATTATTACCTTTATCGTTTTGTTTTGAAGCCTCAGTCCGTTGAGTGTGTTGATGGCTTTCTCTGCGTCTTCTGGTCGATGGTAATTCACAAATCCATAGCCCAAGGATTGCCCTGTAAGCAATGGACTAGTCATAACCCCGGGAACTGCAGAAATAAAAGTTTCCAAAAAAAACAAATGTTAATAACGAAAACGAAAAAGTTACTAATGTTAATTGCGTTAAAAAATTCTAAAGAAACTGAAGTAAAAAATAATAATAAATAAGTATAACACGAATAATTTTGTTAATATCGACCGATGGTCCAACTAAATGTCATAAAACAAAATTCTAAATAATAAATATTTCCAGGAACGAATTCAAAAAACATAATTAAAAATAAACACTGCGAGAAAATTAATACGTATTATAAGGACTAAAAAGCTACAATTCATGTAATATAGAATGGCCACACTAAAACTAAGCGGTTTAAATAAGGTCAATTTTGTTCTTAACTCATACCAGAGTGGGTTCAAATGGTATAAAATGACTTAATGTATCTTTATCCAAAACAGTATTATCTAATATTAAAAAATTGATCGACAGTCATAAGAACATTTTAAAACAGGTAAAGTTATTCTGTTAATTTAAAACACCGTTAATCCTTGAAATTCAAGGAAACTTTCTGGGAATTTGATTGTTCAGCAAGTTTAATAAACTTGTAATCACTATCTTGAACAAACTTTAACAAAGGTAAGGTCTGTGATTTGAACTAAGCAATTTTTCAATCGTCGCCAGTGTGATGTAAGATAGATTAGGGAGGGGAATGCAAACAGAACTGAAGAAGTATATCGCATTAGAAACATAGAAACCCTTTACCTGTATGTACTTCTCGTAAACAACTTCACATGAAAATAGGCATTCAACTATAAATATATATAAGAGCGAAAACTGAAATGGCGAGACTTTTCATTTTTGTTAGAAATAACAATATTCATACTGAACTTTTAGATAATTAACTTCAAAATTAAAATATTTTTGAAGAAGTTGTAATTCGAAACAATTGTCTTGTGTAATTTTTAGTTTTTATTTTTTAAATAAAAATGTGAAAATCTACCAAGTTCGGTTTTTCTCATTTTAACAAGTAAAGGCCGAAACAATCAAGGAAAAAAAATGAAAATATTTTTTGTACGGTATTTCTATTTTGCCTGATCCTCACACATGTTCAATTCCGATGAAACCATAGTGACAAAATAATCTAAACAATGATATTAGATCAAAATAATTCTGCTAAAAATATGAATTATAATGTACGGTATTTCTTTTTTGCCTGATTCCTCACACGCGTTCAATTCCGATGATACCATAGTGACAAAATAATCTGAACAATGTATTAGATCAAAATAATTTTGCTAAAAATAACCCTTTGTTTAGCCGACTTTTTAGGTCATTTAGTAAAGTCTTGCAATGACAAGAGCCCGGTCGGAGTTTTATAGTTAAATATTGATTTTCTAATCCAAAACGTATCAATATAAGTTTGGAAAAGTGCCAGATAGCAAATTAACTTCATGATTTTATGGATGGAATGGTATTATTATGAGGCTGATTTCTTAAAATCGGAATGAAACCAATTATAGTTCAACCAAAGGATATTTAACGTTTTAACACACAAGTTTGCGATAATGGAATAAATTAATAGTTGACGGAACCCAAAATTTAATGGTGTGATTTAGACTTTGAATCAGAGTCGTTCGTAGCATTCAAATTTGACAGCTTTTAAAAATTATTGTCGAATACATTTTCAAAAATGCTGCAGCATTTAACTCAGGCTCAAAAGTCGAGGGCTTATAGCAAAATTCGAAGAACATAGGTGATGTCAGTTTAAGTTTGTAATAAATAAACTGTTTTGTAATTTTATATTCTTTTAATTTTTTATTATTGCATATTATTTAATGTAGAAAGACCGATTCGACAAAACGGTACTAATAAAAGTAATACATTTTTCCTAGATTAGAACTCATGATACTACTCACTCTCAATCTACCCACCTACTAGCCCACCTAACAACCTGACAAATTATTTACATTTTACGGTACCATTGAATTATGTTTAAATTATGTTCGCAATACTTTTTTATTACTTTAATACATCTATTTTATTTGTTTTTCTAATATTGCTCTTACAACCGCTTATATCTAAATGTCAGAAAGGGAACAAGGCTTTAACCTAAAATGGGTTTTTTGACCGACAATATTTTAATATTTTATCTAGACAATGCATGGCTGAAAAAGTATTATTAAAGCAATAGTTCAGCAGTATTAAACTTCATTCTTTAGCCATTTCATATTAAAAGAAAATTGACTGAAAAGTGGTATAGGTACAACAAAGACGAATTACCCTTTCTTCAGCTCGTTTCAAATTTCTGAAGAAGTAATATAACAGAACTTATTAAACATAATATTAAGCTTATATCTAATTGCTGATGAGTGGTGTACTTTAGGACTACAACAGGGCTTCTTCAGCTTTATGTTCAGCCTATACTAACTAGCTGAATAAAGGTATACAATTTGAATTAAGTAGCGTTCTTCCAGCCTATTGTGCAGCATATTTCTCATTTCTGATTAGTGGTGGACTTTAGGGCTGCAACAAAGTTTCTTTAGCTTTATGTTCAGCCTATTTTAAGTAGCTTAAAAAAGGTATACAATTTGACTTAAGTAGTGCTCTTCCAACCTTTTATGCAGCTAACGTTAATTAGCGTTACAAGAGTTTACAGAGAAGCAACCCAGCCAGTTGGCTTATTCAGACTTCGCCACTACTATACATCTATACATCAGCTAAATTGCTGATCAAATCAATGTAACCAGCTTTAGATGTTACTTGTTACTTAAGTAATATATTTTTATTATATTTATTTGTAACTTTTTGCGTTGTGTATCAGAGAAAAAGTAGGATTTACATCAGTATTTATATAGAAATTGGTCACGTACTTCATGTATGTAAACATAATGGATGTCTGATAACGAAAATATAATAATTTTAAACATTCAAAAAAAGCTCATGTGGGGTTTTGTGTGTAACTTGTTAAACTTTTCACATGTATGAAATATATCTACATACATGTACAAATAAAGTGAGGTTATGTGTAGTATGAAAAATATTTACCGTAAAATTGTTCCGTTTAAAAATATTCGTAGGTACATTTCTGGGTGGTTCTTTAGAAAGATCTTTTTGTTTTAGAATGTCTGACAGAAGAAAAACACTACCTGGTAGTTAATATAAAAAGAGGTTCGAGAAGCAAACCCAGCTTCAAAAGCAACTAGAAGCGTTACATAGCTTCTTAAAAGATGTAAGTAGTTTCAAACAAAGCAAAGATCTAATTGATTGTCGAGATCTAAACACTACTATCAATTCTGATTTGGATTTGAATTAACAACATTAATGATAAAATTGCCAGTTGTTCCAGATAGGAAAAGCTCAATAGAGTTCGAGGCAATGGATACCTACCACACTATATCCCTCGTAGTAATGTCACTGGGATACAAGAGTTTGTACTAGTTTTAGTTCCAAAGTGTGTTATCATGTTTTTTATAAATTTGTTTTCATTTCATTTTAAAGTGTTTGGGGACGGCACTTTTAAGGTTTACCACTCCAGCAAAACGCTAGGCCCGACACTGAGTACATACAAAAACAATCGTAGCGAAAAAATGTGCAATATTAACGGAAACCAGATTTTTTAGAAAATAATTAAATCCTGAAATTTGCCAGATTACCTACGCAACAGAATATACGGAAATACTTCATTAATTCGCTAGATTCCGCGAGGCAGATTTATAATCTACCGAATCTCAAATAAATATAGTTCGGTCTGGTCTATTTATATAACCGACATAACGCTTTTAAAATTTGGCGGTTTTAAATCAAATTTAAGAAGGTACGTTTTATATGAATGATGTGTTTGGAAAAACGACCAATTTCAGAGAAGTATTTTCAATTATAATATAATAATAATACTCTCCCTAATTCACCCCCTTACGAGTGAATTTCAACCCCTGAAACCAAGTAAGCTTGTGTGGGGAAGGGACGGCTATTATTAATACATGCCGTGGCGCTCCGGAGCGACATAATGATTGATGGTGCTATTTGATTTACAGGTGAGGAAAACACGGAAAACCACAACCACCATCATTGGTGCAACATTTTTGAGGCTAACTGTATGTTAACAAGGAAATCGGACGTAATGACAATAGGCTTGAACAAAGAAGAAACGTGGCAAAAGTAGGATCCAAAATAATGATTCCAAGACTTTTTTATCATGTTGAAGATTCTGGGTTGCTTAGTGTTCCTCCCTCTTATTTTTTTGGTTAATTTATAGTTTTCAATGTTATTATTAATTCGAGAGACGCTAAAATGATGGTTCCCACCTTATCGAGACTGAGGCCCACAAGGGTAAACTCGTAACGTAACAAAAACGAGAAATGATTTAACTTGGAACGAAAGACCGAAAGCCGGTAGTAGTATTAGGACGTTGAATTTTTTGGTTTGTGAAGCATTGGCATTAAATAGTTTAAACCATGTAATGATTTTCACAAGCCTTGATTTTTAAAACCAATCTATATCGCCTTTTGATTAGGGTTTACAAACTTGTTTGAGCAATTTATCCAATAATAATTGGCCCCTTTACCTCTTAAGCCTGCTCATGCAAAATATTTGGGCTCCTTACTTCGCCTATTTATATAATATTAATAAAGGACAGAAGGATGAGTATTGCAACTATGTTAAAAGAAGTAAATTGGCTTTCAGTTCAGAATTATTTTCAGTACATGACTGATATTTATTTTAAAAAAAAAATGACATAGTACCATCGCATCAGATCTATTAGAAAAAATTCAATATAATTCGCAATATCACAACTATAATACAAGAAGCCAATCTGACTTTCATGTACGGCAAGCCATCACTAAAAGTTCCCAAAATACAATTTTTATTAAGGAGGTCCTTTCGTCACCAATGTTAAATAAAAAATATTAGATTATGACTAAAATTACTATGACTAGAAGTTTACTAATTATTATTTACAATTCGCTGGTTGAACATGTAATTCAAAATTGTATAATAAAAATTTTCTACAAAAAAAAAAACCAGCATTATATCCTACCTCTCTTTTATATAATAAAAAAGTGCTTTGTATAATAACATTATATCTGTACCTTTATTTATGGAAAGCCTAAATTGAGATACACTACAAATTATTTGCAATAAATATCAAAAGTATACATCTTTAAATAATTTGACATTTAAGAACCATTCACACATCACAGTTGACATCTTGATACTTGACAGGCACAGCCAAGCATTATTCTGATTTTTGCCAAATAAAATGGCCGGTTTATTATTCTATGGGGTTGCGACAGAGAGCCAGTTTTGATGAAGGTGTTTTTGTGGCTAGGGGCGAAATAGTAGTACGCTTAAGTTAGCACCACCATAAAAAAGTAATTTTTAAGAAATTGCTTATATATTTTTCATAAATTGGCAGGCTTGGCTACTAATTTCGAATAAAAATAGCCTCTGAAATGGCTATGGTTGCAAGTATGAAGGTCGCAACCCGCCTTAGAAATTTCACCTTTACTATCAACAGCTGTTGTTTGACAGGTCGTTAGAGAATGTTTGCAATTTATGGAATTTTAAGAATGTTAGGAATGTTGACGTTAGAAATAATTGGAATTCCTAAAATTGTCACATAAGAAATGCATATGCGGATTTTAAGAAAATTAATATTAAAGTAGTTAGGATGAACCGAAAATTCTGAAAATCGATAGGGTTCTAAGTTAGAAGTAATTATTCAAGAAAATCAAAACCGCAAGTCAATCAGAACTTTCGTTCTAGAGTTATCGTGCCGGCATACATACACACAGACGACCAGACGAAAATTTTTTTTTGCATGATCGGAAACATGAAAAACAGTTTTAAAAAATGGGGATAAGAAAATGTTTTCGTCTTCACGAATGCAATACTGAGGCGTCATAGGAAGGGCCTAATTCAAGCGGCTGACAACTCATCCGTCCCCATCCGAGCCACATCTCACAACGGCTCTGTCGCTAGCATAGCAATATATTCAAAATGGTTACGTTACTCATACAGAAAGTACGTGTTTAATATGTTTAAAAGGGGCCACCTACTCGAGTGACTCCGATTAGTTTTTTGAGTATGTTGGCATTGTGCGTAAATGCATCGGCGGGCCGGTTTAAGTAAGTTGAATGTTTTATAAGCTTCTGTACAATAATATAAATATAGTTAGTTTACAAATCGTCAGAGGCAAAAGGAATAAAATAAACAATCTGTTAATGAAATATTTTTTTACACACTCGCTCGAGGATAAAATTCAAATCACAAAAACGCAGAAGGCTTTCACCTCTAGTTCATCAAGCTTCAAGAGCCGCATAAGAAAGTTTAATCGGAATCTGTACTTTATTTAAAAATTAACTAAATTTGTGGATGTGATAAAAAAAATGCATTTTTTTGTTTCGCGTGATTTGTTTGGGGGCAATTCTGTTATTATTTCATGTAAAGATTGGAAATGTTATCAGCTGAAAAATGTTTCTCAATAAGATTGAAAACTTTAGCCATTAATGGTTGGTTGTATGTTTATAAAAGAAATAACATATGCTAAAGTTAACTGTGAGTACTTTGAATTTGGAAAACGGAGATAGTTCAATTTGGATTTCAATGAAAATGTTGGAACGTCTTAACTCGAAATTTGTACTTTTTAAGTTGTACCGGTGTTCTTCAAAGGTAATAATTAAAAATCTAAAAAGATAAATCTTTCTGTTAAAATTTTCTTGCTAATCTGACATTTCGTAAAATCCCACTGATAAAAAAGGAGTGGCCCTAGTCCTAGCGGTGTCGGCAGAAAGTATCTTTTCGCAATCATGAAAATAAGTTGTGGTGTGGTTGCCATAGACGCAAAAGAGATGAACACTCTGCGATCAGTATTCCGCACTTTTCAGAAGCTGCGCGATTCGTTTACGTCGTCACACAATCAGACCAATCGATAATGAACATTTTAACAAGCCCACGCGTAGTTTTATTTGGCCGGGGCGTAGTGACAGTTTTTGTGAAACGATTTTCTCCTGTCTGCCTTTAAGAGTTGTTATTTTTTATATCAAAATTATAACACGCGGGGCTCTTTGGAATTCCAGTTATTTCACTTCATCATATAAAAAATAATCACACTTAAGGTCAGACGGGAGAAAATCGTTCATAAAAACTGTAGCTATCCCCCGGTCTATCAAACAAGACCAATCAAATTTGTCTACTTGCGCAGGCCCTAAAATAAAAGATCATATAGCATTTGCCCAGGGGTGTTCAAACTCTACCGAGTGACGCATCAATTTTTTCTATTAATCATATATCATTCCCAAACAAATTCCCTTATTAAAAAAATGAAGAGGGATATAAGACAAAAGATAGGTACCGAAGTTAAGGGATATTATAATAAAGTATCATAGAGGAGGATAGCAATCTCTTTTTAACGACATTGTTGTATTACATAATATTATGATTACATAATATTATGATTTCACTATTTTATAAAACAAATAATTATTAGGAAAATTATGATTTACATTTGCATTTAAGAAAAATATGATTATTTTATAAAGATGATAATACCACAGTTTAAAGAATATATTCTTTTAAACTGTGCTAATACCAACAAACGAGTGTTAAAAATAACCCATTTATCCGATATGTTGTCTGACAGAGTTGTCTTGTGAATAAATCGTTCTCTAAAGACCGGTAAAAAGTTGTACACTACAGCAAATCAATAAAGGATTTTTGTACGAGATTCATTGAAGATTTTTGAAAGACTTGAACAAAAAGTTGTGGTTGTGGATTGTGGAACATGCTCTAAGTCAATAAAACTTTCTGTCTAATTTGGTCAACACATAGTTAAGTAATAAAAAAATAAAAGCTAATAATAATTTTTCGCAATGTTTGGTTCATTCGTCGACACATTTTGAGTCAGAATATTTCCTTGTTGCTCCATGTCCCATTTTGCATGAGAAACCCTGTACACATTAATTAAACATAAATTTAAGTGCCACTCCGTGTAAAATAAAAACATCAATCATGCCCTTTTTCTATACAATCTATGCAACATACATACCAACATAGAAACTTGGCTTAAACAATTTCTAAAAAAATGTACATTAAATACATTCAACATTAATAAAAAAAATATTTTATGTAAGTAAATACTGTGATTTCTATCAAGATTATGATTAACAATTATTGGAAACACTAAATATTAATAGATGTTTATTTTATAAATGATATTTTAATAGTTGTATTATGGCCCTGAAAATCAAATATTGTCCCACAAATATTCAGAATTTAACGAATTTTTTATTAAACAAATATGACATTTAGTTGAAACTTAGTTTTAGATCCCATTATATCGAAGAAAACCATAGGTTAGTATCACCTAACGTGTATAGTCATCAAGAGTAAAAATATATAGGTAAACATTTAAAAATTACCTCAGTCTAAAAACTTACATGTAAGTAAAAGTGTTGATAATACTATACAACATTGTTAATACCAGTGAAAATTAAAAAAAATTATTAGTAAATTCCTGTTTGAAGCCCGACCAGGACCGGCTCAAGCAAAGCATGCACGTTTTGTCCGTTTAGTAAAGAACATATTCCGTTTCTTTAAGGTAAAGTGTTGTTTTTAAGATAAACCATTTTGCCAAATGTAAAATACCTGTTAGATTCTCCTTCTAAATAAAAAAAAAAAAAAAACAAATAAATAAATAATATTTTTTGACAATACAAATAGCCCACGAAACAAAAACATAAAAAGGAGACTTCAAAAGATAAGCATCCAAATAATTTTTATTCTATACTACTAAATAAATATATTTAAACCTTAAAAGGTAACTATATCTCTAGTCTTCATTCAATAAAAAAATTACTATAATTATATTGAAATTTAGAAACAGAAAAATTATTCTGAATGCTAATCCAAAACATACAAATAAAAAAATAAACAAAACTAAAAGAGGTACCTGATTCACTAGACTTTTCAGGTTAGTCTTATTCATTACATACCTATGCAAGGAAAGTTCAATAAAGAATGGGTCTAAAAACAAAAAATTAAAAGCTTCAAAACAAATCAATAAAAAAAAACCTATTGTGGTAGCATAGAAGAACAATATTCAGCAATACTGTCAAAAAAATAAGAAAACATTAAATTTCTCAGTTTACCCTTTTTTCTGTTTACATTGTTCTATTTTTAAATTTCCAATGTTTTCTGTCGAGTTAAATAACAGGAAGTAAAGACACTTTTAAACATGCCTGGTATATATTTAAACTTGATTGCCACAATGATTTGTTTTGCGAGATTTAATGCTACTGGGTAATAATAAAACAGTTGACCTCTTTATTGAACAGTCCCTCTATTTTTAATAGCGCCCTATTTTTTTCTATTTTACCTTCTGAATCCATTTTTTCTGGTGAATTTATCGAGTTTGGCCAACCCACTGTCCCTCCGGCTGTTCATACATGTAAATGAAACAAAAGAAAAAGAAAATAATTATAGAAAACTGAAATTAACTAAAATAATGACGCCGGGTGTAATTCGGAACTTTATATTCATGGTCTCTTTATACAACTATTCAAATTGATCAAATGACTAGTGTAAATCTATCTGAGCCGGCCCTGTTTTCAAAACATATTGTGAGTCCGTTTGAAATATTTTATATAAAGGGGCGGCTTTAAATAAGTGGCGCTTATCAAGTATTATTTTTTATAAAACACCATGCAAAGATCGCATTCTCACACTACACCGTCATTGAAAAAGTTCCAATGCGAGATACAATTTCAGCTATCTACAAGCAAAACAGTATTTTACTAATTTATACAGAGTGTTGTTATAATTATTTTTCCCCGCTTTTTAATAATGCTTGACTTGGCCATTAGTAACACAGACACGTAACTGCACAAAAATTTAAAAACAAAATCATCTACAATATACAAGAAATTAAAAAAAAACTTTATCAAGAATTTTCTTTTTTATTTTCAATATGCTAAAATCAGATACGTTTCTGAGGCAATAAGGCAATCGGGTTATCAACTTATCACTCTGCATATTCAGCATATGACCATTTCACTCAAGAACAAATTATCTGGAAAATGCAAATTAAAATTTATGAGAATATTTTTTTTACATTTTGACTTTGACTACCCAACAATAATATTATACTTTTATTTTGTGAAAGGAATGACTTAGCTATATTCGAATATTAAATCGATGTCCATATTAACAATATTTTTAAAATAAAAAAAAAAAAACCACCCGTCCAATATCTCTCTCTATCTGTAACGTGTGTTAGCCGATACTCGCCGAACACAAATCTTCTAATAAATGAGAACGCCATGGAATCGTAGAGGATATGCTCGATGGTCTCATCTTCTTGTTTGCATCCCCTGCAGAGTGCGGATTCTAACAACCCCATGATATGGAGATGCTTCCGAACTTGGCAATGATCAGTCAGAATGCATGTGACTAGGCGCAGATTCTGTCTAGTCATAGACAAGTATTTGTTTGCTGTAGTGTTGTTAGGATAACTTAAAAGCTATCTGGCAACTCTGCAGTTTTTTGTTTCATCCCATCGTTCCTTGAATTGCACAAGGGAATGTTCTTTAATTAGGTCTATCACTACCGATTTTTGTCAGGTCAATAGAAGGGCCAGTTTCAAAAAGTATTTGGTTGGCTGCTTTCTTGACCAGTTACCTTTGATCCATCTTAAGGTAACCACATTGTTGATGGATACTTCAGCCAAAGCTTCGTGACATTCTAGTACTAACCCTGAGTAAATTCGTGGTCTTTTCAGGGTGAGTAGTGCTTGTCTGTTATATGAATAGATGAGCATGTTCCTTCCAGTGATACTGTTTCTGGTGATTTCTTTTGCTGCTATAAGAATCCCCGTGATCTCTGTTTGAACTACACTGGCACTATTACTCACAGCCTATTTTATGTTTAGGTTTAAGGATCTGGAGTATATTCTACATTCTAAGCCTTGTTTTGTTTTAGAAGCGTCAGTGTAGATAGGAATCGTACCTGCCACTTCCAGCTCTTCTATTTGTTGTTATAACTTTATATGGCTTGTGGAAGATATATTTCGATGAGAGCGAGTCCATGTTCGCTTGAAGCAGCAAGAGCGTATCGAGCGCCTCCTGCCAAAAACGACTTCTCACCTCACCAGATCCTACATATAAGGTTCTATTCCAATCGTGCGGAAGCGTGTCATTGTCGTTTAACAAAAAAAAACTATGTGATCAGGAGTATAATATAGTAACAAACACCTTATTAGCAAAAAAAAACGGTCCCTATATCTCATAAGTTTTACAACTCAGATATTTAATTAACAAACAGAAACAAGAATGTTCACTGTTTACAAAGATGTAGATCATATAATGGACGCCCTTAAATAAAGGTCAGAATGATCTAAAAAAGGACCGCGCAGTTTTCTTACATACAGTATGTTACGTTTATAATCCTAAATATTGGAGAACGGTATAGAAAACCAATAGCATTGAATAGAGAAGAACAGCTATCCCACTAACGCTGTAGAGGTGTAACCATGTTTTTAAACGTCCAATCACGCGGGCGGACCATACAATACATTCTGCTTTTACATTTAAAATATTACCGATAACTACGTAACTTTCTCCATGTTAAACAACAAGCGACGTACACCTCAAAACAGTTTAAGGAGTACTGAAATTTGTGCATTGTGCTGTGCTATGATCGCTGATTGCGGACAGAAGTGCCCTCTCCTTGTCATCGAAAGAGCGTAGTTAAACACGTTTCTCTCTTTTTTTCTTACTTTCAAGTATAATTAAGCGTCTCATCTTTATTTCTCGGGATTCCTAGGTTAACACACTGTATGTTGCAGTTTTTTGATGTCCTAATTAATACTTTCCATGGGCCTAAAGTTCTCCTATGACACAGGGTGTTGAACTTGTGAATTCTCATAAATTAAAAAAATACTTTTTTTTTCATTATCGGATAGACCTTTAAGAAGTGAACGTTGTAACTTTGCTGATATTCATAAATATTAAAGGTTATGGTTTTGGCACTCGATATTTGTGACTACCAAAATACTATACTAACCATTTTAAAAAACAACTGTACAAGGTGAGTAATTTTTTAAATTAAAGTAGAAAAATTGTATGTTTAAAAAATCGTTTTATGTATAAGATAATAATAATAATAATAATAATAATAATAAATGCACTATTTATATAATGTGATTACATGAGTTGTTTTCCAAAATGGTAAGTATCGTATTTTGGTAATCACAAATATCCTAGAGAGCCAAACCGTAACTTTTATTATTTATGAATGTCAGCGAAGTTATAACGTCTAATAAAGGTCTAATAATAAAAAAAATATTTTTGTAAATTATGAGAATTCACAAGTTCAAAAACTAGTCACGGGAGAACTTTGTGCCTATAGACACTTTTAATCAGGAGGTGAAAAACTGAAAGCCATTTGCCATAAAGAAATTGTGGGGTCCTTTTCGTTTGTCCAATCTTTAAAAAAAAAGTTATGACAAAATTAAAAATTTGAACAAAATTTGACATCAGCACCGCCATAACGACTTTTTAGTTCAGTTCAAATTAAACAAAAACTACTAGTAATCTTTTCTTCCCTTGATGACTTCGTTTTGTAGTAATTATAAACTTAACACATAGGAGGTCCTTTCGCCACCAATGTTACATAACAAATATTAGATTATGACTAAAATTAATTTTTTTCTAATAGTTGAAGTCCTTATTTATCTAATAGTAAACTTTTAACTATACCTTACCGTGCAAATTTTTGAGAAAAGAATTTTTAAAAATGTGAGTATTTGTACAGTGTCTTATGAGAAAGTAAGACCTCAACAACAATTTTCGAATTATAATTAAGTATACTATTATTTATTGATTAGATGGAGTAGAAAAAAACTAAAAATAAGGTTTTTGAAATATTTAGGTTTTGTTTTATACAATAAAATATATAGGTTACCGTGGAATTTATTAAGAAATTAATATTAAAAAAAAAATTTCAAGTAACCTAGTTGAAAATTTTTTGTGATTTTTTAATATTAATTTCTTAATAAATTCCACGGTAACCTATATATTTTATTATAAAAAACAAAACCTAAATATTTCAAAAACCTTATTTTATTTTTTTTTTCTACTCCATCTAATCAATAAATAATAGTATAATTCGAGAATTGTTGTTGAGGTCTTACTTTCTCGTAAGACACTGTACAAATACTCACATTTTTAAACATTTTTTTTCTTAAAAATTTGCACGGTAAGGTATAGTTAAAAGTTCACTGTTAGATAAATAAAGAAAAAAAATTAATTTTAGTCACTAGCTTGTAACAGCGTAGCCAGAAAATTTATAAGGGCGTGTTTTGGGTGTGAAATTAAGAAACAATACATATACTCGTAGGTAGGTACTTATTATTTTTTATAAGACTGTAATTATTTTAATTATACTTTCTGATCAACTTTGGGGGGAGGTTTGACCCCCCCTACCCAACAAGATGGTGCTGTAGATGATGCTGTCCACATTTTAGAATAATTAAAGTGAGAACTTTCCTAACATGGATAAGACCGTCAATCTCTTCAAAGGTCGGCAATGTCACCGGATTTCAATCTCGTCGACTATTTACTACATTTACGTTTATATTCATGAAATTATTACATCCGATGAACGTCTGCAGAGAATACATAATGTGTGTGAACAAAATAAAGAATAAACCAAAGCGAATTCGAGCGGAAATCCAAGAAATTGTTGAAAGGGCAAACATATGTATTCAAAAGAATGGTTATCATTTTGAATAATTTTTAATAGTTAGTTTTTAATTGTTATTAACGAAATAAAATAAATAATTAATTTTTTGACAAGTTTATCAACTAACTGTATGAGTATTATGTTTAAATCTGTCAAATTAAGAATTTTTTCTACAGCCACATGTATATTATCTATTGTTAATTCGAAATAATCTTTTTGGTCCCTAATATTCTTATTTTTCATTATACAGGGTATTTAAAAATTCATTCAAAAATAAATGGTTCAGCTTAAGATATTATTTTTAAATTCTAAAGCTAGCAAACTATTAAAATTTTAACAAAAAAATATGACTTCTAAAATTAAATGAGCACATTTGAAAAGACCCTAATATAAATCAATGTTTTCTGCTCTTTTGAAATATCTTATCAGATATGCAAAAAATTTATACAGGGGGTTGTTTTTAAGGTGGAAATAAATGGCCAAATTTTGTTAAGACAGATCTGGATTTTAATTATAGTTTCTGTGGCTTTATGCCTTGATATATTGAGGAAAATCTATATACCACATTTTAAATTTTTATACTGAATGAAATAAAAATTAAGGCGAAATCCATAAAAATTAATTTATTTATTAGACAGAGATGTGTAATGTAGGGGAGTAATAGTCCTTAGATTCAAAACAAACAGAAAATTATTCAAGATGTAGACGAGACATTTTCTGTAAACATATGTGTCAAACCAGCAGTAATATTGCCAAATAAAGTGCTTAAACTCGAAAAACTTGAATACCCTAACAATTTTATACAGGGAAACTCCACAAAGAATTTAATATTTACTTGCCACAGCTGTAAGGAGAATTCAGTCTAAATGTATCTCAAAAGTTATCAATTCTAAAAAGCATATCTATGAACTTAGTTTTAAAAAGATACCTATTTGAGCAAAACTTTAAGTGAAATGGTCAGATTCAAAATAATAAACAGCAAACAAATCAATTACCTGTAACTTTGTCCCTAATGAGTTTGCAACTCTCGACTTCGCCAATACTTGAAAATAGAGATCTGATTTCTTCTTGTGTCATGGTTTGAGGTAAATAGTTGACGATGAGATTAGTCTTTGACTCTTCCTGTCCCCCTCCGACACTGTTGCCACTACTGCCATTCTGTTGTCCGACGACACCGGAATCTAAGCCGTTGGACATCATGATTATTTTTTCTTTTCTAATTTTATTCAAATTAATCGTGGAAATTTTTGAAGATTTTCAAAAAACTCGTCTATAAGATAAACAACTTATCCTGTACACTTAAATTAGTTGGTGTTCTGTTGATTACTTTTAATGTAGTAGTTTTAGTCGAAAGAATGATGTCTATTTTTTTTTACTTTTTATTCGTTTTTATTGGGTGAGTACCCTTATGTATAATCTGAAACAAATAAAAATTAACATTAGTTATAATTTTTTAATGTAATTACCATGTTGTATATTATTTCTTGTTTGTGATTAAAATGAATAATTTAGAAATTAGCATGTGGGAGAGCTCAGCGATACGCCAATTACAAAAAAATTCTATTTCGTAGAAAATTTCAAGCAATAAAATCGTCTAATTTAGTTAAGTTGTATAATTTTCATAATACACGATCGCCAAATTGGCACCACAGGGGTAAAACTTTCAAAAATTAATTTGATCCTATACTTGTCGTACTGCAAACCCATTTATGTGAGACAAACTACGTTGTAAATTTTCTGTACTCATACCTATATACCTATAAATATTTGGTAATATCAGTATTTACTTCTAATACCTAATTTGACTTTTGATGTCATGTTTCCGTCTTGTATCATTGGCGTTGATAAATTATTCGGAAAGACCTTAGGGATATGACGTCAATGGTGTTGGGACGTGCCCCTTATTTTGAATTTGCTTTTTTTGGGAGATCTATTGACAATCTCCTAAAAAAAACAGAATTGATTTTTTAAGTAGCTGTTAGCAGGAAAGGAAAAAAATATTAGAATTGTATTATTATATGGATTTTTTTTGTTGAAGGTTGAAGATTGAATAGAAATAAAGAACAGTGTAGAAAAAGATATGAAGACATTTTTATTTAAAAAGGGTAATATAAAAAGAAAAACAGGAATCAGAAGAGAAGGCAGAGTTATAGAAAGGCAGGAGTTAGAGTAGGAGGCAGGAGTTAGAGTAGGAGGCAGGAGTAAGAGTAGGAGGCAGAACAGGAGGAATTAGAACCAAAATTACAGGGAGAAAGAAGAGGAACATTTCAAAATAAAAATGTATTTATTAGTTTTTTTTTTAATTTTTGTAGGGAGTCAAACGAGCCTGAAAGCTTGAGAATATTGGAATAGTTTAACCTTTCTGGGGTGGAACCATTATAATATATTGATAAAAAAACACATTAGTTTCTAGTTTTGCCAATTTTTCATAAATTTCGACTGTAGTATTTTTGAAGATCACGGTCTAAAAAGAGACTATAAAATTAGAATCAAATATTTGTTATTTGTAAGTCTGATTTTGTTTCAATTGTCTCGTTAAATTAATCTACTGCCAGATTGGCGAAATGCCAGACATCCCTTTGTGACAAGAGCGCGCGACCCGTGGCCTCTGATGGAATAGCTAAAATAATTCACATTTAATTTTCAAATAGATACATCTATCAATAGTGTGTATTTAATACATAGGCCAAGATTATTAAAAATTAAAATTTTAAATAGTCCAAAGTTACCTTTCTAAAATGTTCCATTCATTCCAAATAAATAACTTTTGTCCCTAAAGCTAGTTGAAAAAATATTTTCTTCACGGACACTACTGAATGTAGTTCTTCCTAAACCACTTATAATAACAGAAAGAAAATATTCTCGCTCTTGAGATTGAAATAAAATTCTGAAACACTTCCCTCTCATGTATTTTACACGTACTTCATTCTCTAGTGACTTAATGTTCATTATGTAATAGCTACTAGCCAATGGCTGTGAATATCACGCCCGCACCGTAGATAGCTATGAATTTCATGATTGACAGTTCTACGTGACCTAAAACGCGATCTAAAACCAAGCAACAATAACAAAGATACCAACAATATTAAATATATTGGTAAAAACATTATACAAGTTAAACCTCTACACAATAAAAAAAAAACAATTCCGCCATGTATGAGAAGTCAAAAATACGGAATACTCGTGCTTCATCACGCTCGCGTTCATAATCTTCCACTCGTATCGAATTTTCATTTCAACCTTGTTACAGAATATACCATTATACTCCAGTAGAAGTATGATAACGAAATTTGCTATATCAACGCAAGATGGCGCAAGTAAAATGTTTTAAGGTGACTACTGACTGAACGCGAAGGTGTAAAGTTAAACCAACCTGGTATCCTATTCTCAAACTCAGGAGAGTGTTCCATCACCAGTGTTGCCACATGACCAAAATCGAATTGTTGTACCATGGTGTAGAAATTATCGTTTTTTTTTTCATGATTTGATCGAACAAACTGACCTTACTAGTGTGACGTTATAGAAGGCTGGTTAATTTAAGAGTTTATGGGGTTGGGATAATTTGATAATAATTTTATAGAATGGATAAATATAAAAAATAACATTTAACCTTTCTGATTTTGATGTTCGAATTGTTTTTGTCTATGCATTTTTAAAGATGTCGTGAATTTCATTTTATCTGTAGGTTTGAAACTTACACCATCCATTACCCAAAGGATTCCCGCGTTTTCCTTATGTAAAGTGACGACCGGTTAAATTTTCTGAAATTTTGGTATGTTATTGTACTCAACCTAGTAACCAAAAGTGTCAATAGGCTTAACTCAATCCTATGACTGGTTATCGATAACCCTGTATATACAGGGTGTTAAAGTTGAAAATCGCTTAGTTTTTCGAAATTTTTGTTTTCAAAATTACGAGCTAGATTGAATTTCTGTTGCATACACACGTTTACTATATGTTTTATTATTACATTATAGTAACTATGTACAATTAAAAATATTTTTAGTTACAGAGTGATTCACAATGTATGACTAATTTTACTATATTTTTAAAAAATAAACGATTATACAATACTGTGACAGGCTCCTGGTTCACCTGCTGTGAATCAACGAGTCTGTGTCGCTATTAATGTAATTCCCGAATAGGAGTTGCTCAGGCGCCAGTTTTGATATCGCAGTTTGCTCTGCGACCCTGTGGTACACCAGAGTGTACTCAAGGTGAACTCAGTGGAGGTAAAAATAATTCCAGGCGGTCACTGCTAGGTTATCACTATATTAGAATAAATAAAAATAAAAAAAAACACTTTTCTTCTTAATACCTTGTACCCTACGGTACCCTGAAAGAGAACGGTCAAGAACCAGCAATAATAGAAACACAGAAATAGATAATAAAATATATATTTACAAAAAAATTACAACAGTGCCGGTACACGGGTCTGGCACGGCGGTAAAACAGAATTATACAAAGAAACAATAAAATTAAACCGGCCTGTAAGAAAATAATAGCGGACCTAGTATAAAGCGGAGAGAGAAAAAGAAAATACTAAAAGTAAATTGATACAATTGCGATTACTTAAATACTACGGCGTCATGAGGTTTACGGAAAATGATTGAATACACTTGTAAACAATTCAAACAGTGAGAAACAGTTACGGATCGCCAGCACAGGAGGCTAGGCGGTTCAGAAATCTTATACAGGGTGTTTTATAGAGAGAACCACAACAAAATTATTTTTTCAAGGATTAATTCGTAACCCTGTACATATTAATTGATTTTTGAGAAAGGTAATACCACTTAATACTTAAATATGTGTACCTCTACTTCAAAATATATAAGGTGATTTTTTTGTTAGAAGTTATTCCATTTTAAGAAAAGTACAAAAACCACGAACACCCGTATTCTAACATTTCCCCGGTAAAATGTAACCATTTTTTTAGTACCTTTTTATGAGATGTGAATTTTAAATGCGTACTATAACTAGTTTTCAAGATAAAGAGCGTTAAAGTGGAGATCGAATTGCTGATTTTAGTTATTTTTTCTTCAAACTGAGAAGCTAAATTGACGTTATGTAACATATATAAGTTTTGGTCAGATGTCCACAAAAAGAGACAGTTCAAAATATTTACTGTTACACGGTGATTAACGAATAAATCACATTATATTCTTCCAACTTTATTGTCACTTGTATAAAAACTTGTCACAAATTTCTCTGTGGCGCAACTGTAGAGATATTGAGTGAGCGAAAAATATATTGTGATTTATTCGTGAATCACCCGGTAACAAATATTTTAAACAGAATGAATATCTCACCAAAACTTATATTAAACTTAGATATTCTGCATAAAGACAATCTATCTAGCTTTTCAGTTGGAAGAAAAATAACTAAAATCATTAATTCTCCACTTTAACACCCTGTATTTTGAAAACTGATCATAGTATCGGATTTAAAATTATCTCTTAGAACGGTGTTAAAAATATCATATACTGAGAAAATAGTTACATTTGACTTGGGAAATTTTATACTACAAGGCGTTCGTGATGTTTTTGTACTTTTATTAAAATAAAATATCTTCCAACAAATAAGCTGCCTTGTATATTTTGAAGCTTAGAGGTACATATATTTTAGTAGTATTACCTTTCCTTAAAATTAATTAATAAGTAGGTACAGGGTTTTTAATTAGACCTTAAAAAAATAATTATATGTGGTTCCCACTACAAAACACATTGTATAAGAAATGTGTACTGTGTAATATACCAAAATACCATATTGAGTAGTATTTTTTGAAAGAGATTTTGCCAAAAACTATCGTCACATCTTTCTGAATCCCAGTAATTAAAAATATTTTCAATTATACTTACGTAATAATATATTACTAAAACATGTATTAAACGTGTTTATGTAATAGAAATACAGTCTAGCTCGTAAACTGGAAAATATAAATTTCTTAGAAACTGAGCAATTTTCAACTTTAACGTATATCGTATATACAAATACGATAATTATCGTACTCTGGCAACACTGCTCTCATCATTCACATGATTCCGGCCAAATAGTGAGAGAGTACTCGCCTCTCGCCTACTCTCCTACTCGCATAATTACAAGAATACGGCCCCTGGAATGAGACTTTGCCGAGAATCTGAATAGTCTAGTGATTCTAGTGAAATAATTACTTAAGATCATCGATTATCAAAACATACTAAAATAGCATGAGCAGGGCCGTCGAGAACCATGTGGGGCCCCGGTACAATTTTCCAAGTGTGGCACCGCGACAATTTTATAAAAAAAAATTAATCCTTTATAATATCACATTTAAAAAAAAACACAGAAGGTTCTCATCTTGTATTTTACATAAACTAGCGCTCCTACCTTTTGTGGAGAACCTAAAGCTGCCGGGTCTCCCTTGTGCCGCTACCGGGC